CGAAAATTGTGATCAGCATTTATCTACCAAACTGTTTGTGGATTCATGACTCTTTGGTTATGGATCGCTAATAACATACAAATCTCCGAATAAAAACGTGAGAAAAATGCTATAAATATTCCAGTTAAAGCCACTGATTACTGCTAAGACTCCTATATATTTTGTACAGAAAATTAGTAATTTCACTCACTTCTTTTGGTCAATTCTTTACATTAAATGCTGTAATAGAAAGAAGCATAGAATTACTCAATATGTGCAACATACTCACCCCACCAGTAGTAAATGGCATAAAAAATATTTGGTACTTTGATGGTTTACCTATGTGTTGAAATCGTTAAGTTGTATTTTCTCTTTCACAATGGCCGACCTCCTTTCTGCAGGATCCTTTCCCTTGGTCTAAGTATCTCGGGGATTTAATATCGCAGTAAAAGTGTTGATAACATTTTCCTTTTTGTGTTTTGATTATCATACTTAGTTTCTAGTTGTTCTTGTCTAGAGATGGATCTTTTAGACCCACCTGTGTAATATCTCATACTTCAGAGTTTATGGTATCTTTTGGCATTCCTTTTGGTTCACGAGTGTTGCATCATTCAAAACTTCAAACTTACAACCAAGCAATGAGACAGTCCTCATGAAAAAGGATAATGATATTGAGAATATTTTACTGACTATCCTTCCACTTTTATCTATCTACTGCTAGGTACCACTTGCTCTGATATGCCTCCTCAATCTGATCATACTATCGAATACCAACAAGTTTGTATTATTAAACGCAAACAACCTTAGGCTCGGTAAATGCAAGCATGTAAATTGTTTTTGAAGTTAGGAGCACTGAAACAGTCGTAAAAATATTAAAATGAACCAAGCTTAGAGGCTGAAGTGTTAAATACCAATATCTTCCATCGTTTGCGGTATGCCATAGAGTGATTTCTGGTACTTCTCCAGAAATACCCATAAGAGAACCAAATAATAAATTGTTACATCAGAGCATCATATATTGCCTGTAAAAAAAAAGACTAACTCGAATATCCAAAGATGCATCGATAAACACCTTGAATTTATCAGAACTGTACATAATATTACTACAGTAGAATCATTCAAACTTATTTCTGCAACTTTTATAGATGTTGAGAACTCTTATGCCTCATTTCTTTCTCAGAATGTACGTAGCTCTTGCTACTAAACAGACGGATATAGTAAAAATTACATTTGTGGTCGTGGTGTCGTTATAAATCATTGACTTGCATCATAGTTAACAAATAATGATATATACAAATAATCAATAAATATATAATTGCCTATTGTACAGTTGGACAAATTGAATGTATAATTTTTGCATGTTCTTTCTGTATTCGCATGATCGTCATTTCAGATTTTAATAAGGGAGGAGGAACTCTAAGGCTTGCTGCATGCTCTTGCCTTTCTATTAAGATTAAAATGTAAAAATAAATCTATTTTTAGAGCATTTGTGCTCTGTTTGATTTTCATATTGTTTAATAACAATTATAATAGCGCAAACTACCCATTTTAGATACATTCTATAAATGTATTGTCCCCAAAATAAATAATTATAAGTACGGGGGCTGCTCCCCTGCCCTGTCTACTTGGCACCCTTCTTTATCTGTAACGTCAAATGAATATTGTAGCTGCATCAAATGAACGTTATTATAAAACTTGAGGAGTTTCTGTAATAAAGTCATCTTTATAAATTCTAAAATTGGTTTAGTATTTTTATAAGGCTGTTGCCATGGTAATGAAACTCTCTAATGAACTTCTCACTTGAGCGTTTTGCATCATAAGAAATTGCAAAAAACTGCTGAAATGCGGATAAAAGTAGCTGAGTAATGTAATCAGATACCGTGTAACTAAAAAAAACGTCTTTGAAAGTTCTTATATTAAAGGGTATCAGTTCCTAGATTCTGCATTTATTATAAACTTTCAACTTGTTAAATATTAAAAACACCAAAGAAAAATTAGCGAATATATGTTTTATTTATACAAACATTCACGATGTTTAGGAATTTCTCATCGACTACAGATTTTAATCACAATGTTTGTAAGACATCAAAGAAAATAGTATATGCCCTTTTTGTCAAGCTTTCAATAGCTATTGGGAATGTGAACAGATTTCTACATGAACACTAGATATCGTTCTTCGCTTAGATAAAATAAGTTTTGTTTTAGTAAAAGATGTCAGCTTGCTTTGTATAAATAATCATGTTATATTGCAAGCAAAAATTAATTTAAATCACCAAGTGTTTACTTATGCTACAAAAGCATCTTCAACTAGTATTTCTTTTACTTAGATCCAGCACAAATTGTTACTAAGAGATGAGTAACGATAACTGTTCAGCTCTAAAGTGTATTGTTAATTGTGTAACAAAATGCACTCACAGTATTCTAATTGTAACTACAAGATTATTCTTTATAAATGGAAATACTGGTAATTTTTATTTAGGTATTAAACTACTGCACATTTTTAATAATTTTGTACAATTACTTTCTCATGGAAGTCCACTAAGCGCAAGCAAGAGTATTTTTATAACAATTGTTAAGTTTAATATCAATTGAAATAGTTGTTTAACAAATGTCTCATTGTTCCTTTTCAGCAAAATCACTTTTTTTCATTTATATATGTGATTAAGATACTTGCTTTGTGTTATGCTACGTGACGCAGTGGTTAGCGTGCCGAACCAGGGATATGCCGGTCCACTGTTCATGTCTGTGTTTCTCGTTATTGCAAAAGAAAAAAAAAAACAGTAGCAGTCCAAAAGTTCGTGATGGGTGTTGGTGACTAGTTTCCCTCTCTCTAATCTATCAGTTTAAAATTAGGGATTACTAGTTTTAAGTATCTTTTCGCGAATATCCGGGAAAAAAGAACTTAGCTACTGAGAACTGTCTGTCAGGCTTATTTTGATGGTGGCGCATAAGTTATTGAAGCTATGACACATCTGTGAATATTGATGTTAGAAACAAGTGATTCAACGAATTTTAAAGTAAGCAAATACTTAATTTCTCTAAACTTCTGCTTCTCACTACCAATCTTTCCAACTGTAAGATCATCTGTGTTTATATTACTCGTGTATTTCTATGGGAATCAATATACATGATTTGATGACAAGGAATCCACTTTGAGACTAATAAAGTTTAGAGACGATGGGTAACGAAGAAACCTAGTCGAAAGGATGTTAATTTTATACTATATTAAACTTGTCATAAAGTTGTCTTCGTTACCAATTCAAGTCGTCTCCAAACTTTATTAACACGACATGATTGTTTAATATAGCCAAATACTCAATACCAGTGGTTCCCTAACTTATTTCACTGATGGCACCCTAATTACACTTACCTTGACTTGCGCGAAACCCCTGCTGCCACATGCAATTTTGTTATAGATTTTTTTATGCTATTTATTCTTCGTTCCGTGAAACTCTTGCGACACCCCCAGTAATTTGCCGAGACACACAGTTTCAAAATCATTGCTCTATACAATAACTTCTGATTTGTTTCTCCTAGTGCTCTGTTCTTCTGTTAATCCAAGCAATCTCCTGACTTGGACCAAAAAGTCTAGTTTCAGTGTTAGTTTATAGACGTGGGGTTAAATATCCAGAAGCTTGAAGAGATGAGAAGTGTTTCATGTGTCTGCTCCTGTACCTTTTATTTATTACCGATATCATAGTTTTAGAATTCCCTTGGTTTGTATTTGAATGACCTCTAACTACTTGATTTCTTGTAAATTCTCTAATATTCAAATTCGATGACGAGGAACCCACTTTGAGACTAATAATGATTGGAGACGGCTTGAATGGGTAATGAAGAGAAACTTTATTATAAGTTTAACATAACAGCAAATGTACAACGTTTCGACAAGGTTTTGTCATCATCACCTGTACATTTGCTGTTATGTTAAACTTATATTAAAGTTTTTCTTCATTACCCATTCAAGCCGTCTCCAACCATTATTAAATTCTCTAATATGTATTACCATCTATCAGTTTTATATCCAGTCTTTTTTTTTTTCTCTCGTCAGGAATTGTTAAAGAACACGCCAGTTAAGGACATCATTTGGAAAAACGATATATGAAGTTACATTGAATAATAAGCCAGGTTCAACAGATGGCGCCCCGAATTCAAGTATAAAAGAAGAGGTAATTAATGGATTAAAAATACCCCACAGCAAAATTTCCATCATGCTTTGGATCCTTTGATTCCAGCCCTGGAAAGGACCTTCTCATTTAATGTTAATAATTATTATTATATTCTTTTCTTTGAATTTAACCTGTTGAGCTAACCATTTCAAAACAAATTATTTCAGTATTTTAAACAGGAACGAATGTACTCAATCTGCATCTCTCTGCTCTGCTCTACACCGCTCAGCTCACTGACAGTCCGACCTCACGCATTCCTAAGCACGTGGATCATCAGACGCACATGTCTCGCCGATAGAAAACTCCCGAAGCCATCAAACAATTCAACGAAGGTCTCCTTCATACTCTTATTTTCAGTGTTTCCTCACAGCTTATTTCTTGTGCATCATCATTAGCAAAATTAATATTGTCAATTTCACTCCCGTGAGCTTTAAAGCCCTTAAATGTCAAACGCTACTTAATTCTATTTTATGAAGTGGGGTGAAGAGATACAAAAGTTTCTGACCGCCCATGGTTATATTTCATTCCCCGAAGGGGGATGAAATATACTCTAATCTAAATTACTACCACGATTGGATGGATGGGTTAAAAATATTTGTGATCCTTGATAAAATATATAAAGAAAGCATAATCATACATTTCAAACCACTATCTTGCTATTCTTTGTGGAAGAATTGCACTTATTAAGAATGATTAGGGCAGTATAAAGAGTAGTACAAAATAAAAAATAATAAGTTTACTCAGTCTTTTCATTTTTTGTTCTCTCTGAATATGTAATTTGATCAAATATCATGACATGGAAAAGGTAATAAATGTCATAAAACTTGACGAATAAGCCACAATTGAAATATATCAGAGTCAAACTCGTTCAATGCATAAAGTACATCTAATCAGTATAGTGACTTTCTTACATGTAAAAGTAGACATAATGCTTCTGGAAATTCAATAATGAAAGAGTGCATGTATGGAAGATTCTTATGTACTTCTTATGAAGCTTAGATCAGCTTACGTTCGGAAACAAATGAAAATTGCAGTTAATGTCACTCAATAATGGAACATTATTTTTAAGCTGGTTACTAAAATGAGCCCGGCGAGAAATACATTTATGAGAATTTATTAGATAAAACAGAGCTTTTAAACAAAATCTGAGTAAATATTAGCTAAAAAAACTAAAAATTGATTACCTTTAACCTCCGAGATCTAACAGTTAATTTCTAAAATATCTGTTTATATATTCCTTTGTGTATTTTTTTCTGCATAAAACCCTTACTCTTATTTCGTAGTAATGGATTATAATACAAGAAATGTGAGATTAATTAGAACGAAATTTAGTACTCGGGCAAAACTGGTTTTACTTTCTTGAGAGCCGATTGAATGGCGTTTCTTATTGGTCCTTCTGCAGCATTTGCAATTTTCTTTCGAAAGATTGAGGCAACAAAGGTAGAAAATTTGGATATTAGGTAGGTTAACGGCCCCAAACCAGTAATTTTTATTTTTATCCCGCTGAGTTTTGTAATCTCGAAAGAGTCCAATTGTGGTTTGGGTTCATAGAGATCTTGACTGATCTTAATGACAGCTTGGAAGTTCGTTACCTCAATAGAGATGTGTCCTTTGAGACGAAAGAAACCTAATTTCTTTTTCCACTGGTAGGATCCCTTAAGATCTCGGAGTCCCAGTGATGTCTGAATAGCCACTGAGTTTTTACTGCAAGATATATATGAGTGTCCACTCCTATATAGAGTAGACAGTCCACGAACTTCGCCGTTTATGAAACGAACAGTTTTTTCGGCATCAGGGAGAGCCATAGGGTCGGGAATTTGACTTTTGGCATTCCATAATACCGAATCTAGGTACGCATCCATGTTCGCTATTCCAACGCAGTTCGTTGCAGAATTTCGTTTGGCTCTTCGTTTGAACACTTTTAGAGCCTCTCCTTCTGCAAAGTACATTGTTAAAAAGTCTGTAATTAGATCATGACTAATTTCTTATAATTTTATTGTCAACATAGAGGAATAGAATTTGGTACGTTGCGCGACTATTACAGGTCAGCCTTAAGCTTGGCAGTCATGTTAGTTTGGCTTTTAATGAACAAAAATACTTTCATAAATTGTATAAAACATTGCACTAAAATTGAGTTACACAAATAACAACACTAAAATAAAGCTAAAATAAATCTAATAATAGTTATTTTGTTTGTTTTTTGCTCTTATTTGTAAGCATGAAATACTATATGCAATAATCATTATATATTATACAAAATAGTTAATTATTGGAACAACAATAGATCATTCGTTTTTTTTTACTCGAATTTATTCCTAGTTCGCTTTACTTGGGCCGAAGTTTTTATGTGAGCATTTATACACACAAGATTTGAAAGTACAAGTTTCAAAATTTTCGAGAAAAGCTACGCAAAGGACTATATGTGCTATACGACCCTAATTTTGAACTAATAGATTAGAGGAAAGACAATTAGTCAACAACACCCACCGCCAACTCTTGAGCTACTCTTGTCCGACCAAATAATGGAACTTGCCAGTCACCCGTATAACGTACCCACGGCTTCCAAGGAGTATGATTTCTTTTTGTTGTTGTCGGTAAAGAGACGCGAACAGTATGCCTGCAGCTTCATAGTCCGGTACGCCAACTACTGAGCCGCGCTTGGCCCAGTAACTGAAAACAAAGCAAGTATATTTATAATATCTAAAAATAAAAAATTGAAATTGAAGAGGAACGTAACTCGTTAGTGCGCCCACGCCTCCAAAGTACGAAACACCTTTTTGCAGCAACGGACTGCGAACCATGAATACTCGGAGTTGCAGTCCACTAGTTTAAGTCTAACCAATTTGGAAATAAGCTTATTCATTCAGCCTGATCCCTATGGCTCAGCGGTAAGCTTAAGGTCTTGTAATGCTAAAACTCAGAATACGATTCGATGTGCATACCACAGACAGCCCATTGAATAGTTTTGTGCGTAACAAAAAACAAGTAAATTTCATTTAGCATGTCTTAATGCTTTAATATAAACATTATCTGTTAGGTTAAAATATATTTTTTTTAATGTTGAACAAAAAAATCAGCTTAATTTTCACGACTTTGGAATCTGTCTTTAAAATTAAGTGGGTTAGGGCGCTTGACTTGCAATCTGCGGGTCGCGGGCTCGAATCCCCGTCCCAAACATACTCGCTCTTTCAGCCGTAGGAGCGTTATAATGTGACGATCAATCCCACTATTCGTTGGTAAAAGAGTATCCCAAGAGTTGGCGGTGGGTGGTGATAACTAGCTGTCTTCCTTGTAGTCTTTCACTGCCAAATTAGGGACGGCGAGCACAGATAGTCTTCGTGTAGCTTTGTGCGAAATTCAAAACAAACCAAACTGAAGATTAAGAAAAATCCTTTAACGTTTGCATAGATCTCTTAGAATACATTGTTATTAGAAGTAGAAGTTTAATATGAACAAAGAAGTTAGAAATGCATAGTTTATTGCAAATTCTTCAATCGATGTAATATCACAAAAGTCGATAAACAAATGTGCATAGATAGGTAATAAACAGGGAATGTCACATTTTAAATTTTTCAAATACACTAGGGGCCCGGCATGGCCAGGTGGATAAGGCGCTCGACTCACAATCTGAGGGTCGTGGGTTCGAATCCGCATCCCACCAAACATGCTCGCCCTTTCAGCCGTGGGGGCGTTATAATGTGACGGTCAATCCCACTATTCGTTGGTAAAAGAGTAGTTCAAGAGTTGGCGGTGGGTGGTGATGACTAGCTGCCTTCCCTCTAGTCTTACACTGCTAAATTAGGGACGGCTAGTGCGGAAAGCCCTCGTGTAGCTTTGCGCGAAATTCAAAACCAACAAGTTTTTGATCTATGAAATCCTAGCTCTGCTTAATTGGGTTGATATCTG